CACCACCCCCCGCCCGTCTCCCCCCCTCCCCCGGAGACAGAGGGAGCAGTTAAGGCCTCACTCTGCAGCTACCAGCTTCCACAGAACAAGAGGCCCATTCAGCAGGGAGCATTTGCTCACTTTTTTCTTCTTGAAGAAGATCTCTGTAGCCTGGACTGTATAAATAGTTCAGAACATTCCAGGCCTTGGTGAGACAGGGCAGTGTCTAACACCCGCAAGCCATCCCTGCCACTGCCCATTCCTGGCTTCTCCTCTATGCCTGTTTGTAAACCTTGGAGTGGCTGAAGGCACAGGGGAGCAGGTGACGGGGGGCAGGATCCCTGCGTCCCCACGGAGACGGAAAAAGAAACAGATGTGCAGCTCGGTCGCACGCCCCCTGCAGGTTATCACCTAGTTATTGCTGAGCTTGAGAGATGTGACTAAATTCTAGCCTTTGTCCCTTTGTGTGATGCACACACTTGAAAATAAGTAACTAAGTGAACAGGAAAAAAATGGTTTAATGAATTTACTCCCCATCTGCCAGTGCCCTCAGCCAGAGGCTGGTGTAATGGGGCAGCTGCTGAGCAAACCCCCAAGAGCAGAGGTCACCCACTCAGCCCATTACAGTGGCATCTTTCTCTGCCACCTCTGCCATCTGTCCAATGATGGAACAAGAAGATGGATGCTTGGCCTAGACAGCAGACAGGAGATGCAAGCAGCAGATGGTCCTGACTCTGAAGGTCTCTTCCGGCCCTGGGTGACCCTCCCCCACACTAGGGTCTGTTTTAATTGACTGTAGGGCCTGTGCCTTGCTAGGCCCTGGATGGTGAAGAGCAGGAGCAGACCGGGTGGCTGCTGCCCCAGGCAGTCCCCTTCCACTGCAATCCCCAAAGGCTGAGAGCAAAGGCAGGTCTTAGGAGGATGGGTTCCTGAGTCAGGGAGAGCTAAGGGGAGAGAGAGAGTGGGGAAAACGGCTGCTGCAGAAGCCGAGTGGGTCTTGTGATCTGTGCAAACTGAAAGTAGAAGCATCTACTGCAATCCAGGGGCCTCAACTTGCTGGGTTTGCGTATGAAGATTCCCAGGATGTGGTCCAGCTGGACGGGAGGGAGGAGGCCCAGGGGTTTCCTGAATGCAGCCACGTTGCCTCTCAGCTGTCGCAGTTTCAGGAATAGGCCAAGCTGCTCTTTACCTCAAAAGGACTAAGCAGAATTGGCAACTTCGGATGTCTTAAGAGCTTCAAGATCCTTTGATCTTGTGTCCTTTGTCATTTCATGACTGTGCCCAGGGGACTAATCAGTTATGTTTCCAAGAATACAGACATACTGCCATCAGTGTGAGCCTAGCTCATATTGTAGATCGGGTATTTTATTTGGGAAATAAAATCACCCATGTACCCTGCTTCCTCCAACACTGGGCTTGATCTGGGCAACTCCTGAAGTCTCCGTCTCCATCTCATCTCTAAGTTCTAGGTCAAGTCTGCATGGCTTCCCTGCTCCCTCCCGGATCCTGAAAACTCTGTCTTTTTGACAAGACCTCTCCCTGTGTGTATTTCGTGGCCACATGGTACAGGAAATTCCCTTCGTGGCCATGTGTGACCATGGTGTGTACATATGTGTCCACATGTGTGTATGTGTAGCTTGCAGCTCGTTCTGCTCAGCCACATTGCTCCCAGCCCCCTTGCCATCAGTGTCCCAGATGTCCTTGCCATGGCTACAATCTGCCTTATCCTGGAAACACAGGAGCTGCCCTTCAGAAAGCTGGCAGCCACTGCCAGTCAGGGTCTGCTTTGTGGAACAGAATGTGAACCCATCAGTTGATGGCTTACTTGACTTATTTAATTAAAGATGAAGACATGCAATGAGCAAAATCAGAAGTGTCTGTCTTTCTTTTGCATTTACTCTGAACAGCAATCATAAAAATTAGCAGCTGTGGGAACGAGGGACTTCTAGCATGAAGCAGGGCAGAGGGAACCCCTGCCCACTCCTGAGAAGTGAGAGGCACAAGGGAAGGATAGCCACGTGCAGGGGGCGTGATAAATGTTCTGTATGTCACCAGGACAGCAGAGCTGGTGGTGACTGCATGCAGCTGGTTGCAAGAATGAGATCAGAGATAAATACCCAGGCATCATGGGGCAGGGACAGGAGCATTGGCTAGAGGTCAGGAGACTTGGGGACAAGTCCCAGCTTTGCCATTAGCTGCCCCTCCAACCTTGGACAAGTAAGTAACTTCCCTTATCTGAGCCCCAGTTTCCTTTAGAATGAGGGGTGTAATCAGTGGTTTACAACCTTTGTTCCAAAAAGCCCTTTAGAGATTCAAAAGGCAGCCCTCTCACTCGGAGCAGCTGCATTGATTGGCTAGCACCCGAGATTTCATTGGCCTTCAACAAAATCAAAAATCCCATGAGGAGATTTCTAAGCATCTTTTCCACTAAAAATTGTAATGGAATCTTTTCGAATTGCAATTACATTGATTTATTAGTCATAACAACTTTAGTGTGAATTAGATTTCCACCCTTTTGTCTCCTCATAGCCAACTAGAGAGAATTGGCATTTCCCGGGGAGAAGGTTCATTTTGGAACATGGGAAAGCAGAGCTGGTGGGCCTTTGTGGGTTTGGGGGCATGGACAAGCAGGACAGCAGCAACCATGAAGAGACAGAGCAGAGCTGAGCCCTGGGGACATGGTACCTAGAGTGAGGGAGTGATGACAGGGTGAGGCACGATATAAGGGAATGGGACCCCTTCCCCAAAACTCAAGCCTGTGTCTGTGCCATTTCACTCAGGCCAGGCCTTGGAAATCCAAACCATTTTCCTCCCAACCCTTAAAATACAGGAGTCAGTACAATGACATCCCTGCTTAAGTGAAGTCTCCACCACCCGCCCCAGCCAGGTGCCATTGCTGTCTCCTCTTTCCTGGGGACTGAGTATCTTTAGTTTCATTTTTAGGTTGTGTTTCCTGCCACAAATGGCCCCCTGGAGAAACAAATTGCCCTAATCGCAGGGCAGCCCAGACACCTCCCCACCCACTCACCCCCTCAGCCACCGGCCCAGACCAAAAGCCATCTTTCCCCCAACTCCCAGACCTCTTTGGGCTCCTGAATCTTCCTCCACTACACTCCAAGTTACCCAACCCAGGGAAGGAACTGAACACTCCACAGGGTCTCCTGGGAGTGACAGTCAACGGGACCCAAAGCGGGAAGCAGTTAGATTACCAGCAGGGGACTGGGATGTGTGCCAGTGGAGTCTGCCCCAGAGGATCTCCAAGTATGTTTGGAAGAACTGTGGTCACTTAACCACCCTTAGGAGGCTACAGTGCACATTGGCATAGTCAGGCTCTGAAAAGTCCTGCTTTCCTCTGACCCAGTTTACCAGGATCCACTCAGAATTATTTTTGTGGGTGGAATTCTTTTATCGTAAAAACTTCTTCTTTTTTTTTGCCAAACAACATTTTCAAGACTCTGGAATTCTACAGAACAGTTTGGAGCAGCCAGAGACCTGCAAGTATAAGCTTACAGCACTAAAAGCCAGGATATGCAGAAAGAAGGTGGAGGGTGAAGAGGCTGGGGAGGAAAAGTCCAGGGTCAAGTTTCAGAGCCCCATCCCACCTTCACTCATTGCCACTGAGCTGCGGGCCAGGAGCAAGAGTTGGCCTGTGGCAGTGGTAGCAGACTCAGGGTCACTGGGGGTCAGAGTTCACGGCCCAAGGCATCCACACTGTCGTCATAAAACCTGCTGGTCCTCTGAAACCCTTGTCCTTGGCTTCCTCAACTCAACCGCACCTGCATGGCCTCAGTGACATTACCCTCAGAGAGTGAGGACCCTGGGGAACCCAGGCCAGGCATAAACACCGCAGGACACTATTGATCTGAGAAAATGGAGCTTGGGGTACTTCTTAAAGGGGCGATTTCTGAAACAGCTGGGCAAAGGTTACCAGCAGTAAACAGGTCCTCTGGAGATATAACCCTCTAGAAGCTAGTAAACTGCTTGCTACATGCTGCTGTGCGTGTTATTGGAAAAACAAGCCATCGGAAAGGCTGGCAGGGAAGGCTTGGCCAGGAAAACCAGATGAGAGGAGAACAGCAGGGAGGTGGGGAGGCAGGGGAAGTGACAGGGAG